CCATGGGGATTTGTGGAATTCTAACAAATGGACCAATATACACATTATAGGTGTCCAGAAAAAGAGAGAAAGAAACAGATTATTTGAGGAAATAAGGGTTGAAAACTTCCTAAATTTAATGAAATATGTAGATCTATAGATCAAGAGGCTCACTCAATAAAGTCCTGGTAGGATAAACCCAAAGAGATGTGTATCAAGACACATTATAATCAAACTGCCAAAGTCAAAGCAAATCTTGCTTTTAAAAGAAACAACTCATCATGTAAAATGATTAACAGCCAATTTCTCAGCAAAAAATATGGAGGCCAGGAAGCAGTGGGATGATATATTTAAAGTGCTAAAAGAAAAACAAAAAAACCCGTCAACCGAGAATTCTTTATCTGGCAAAACTCTTTCAAAAATTAAGGAAAAATCAAGATAATCCCAAATAAAAGCTGAGGGATTTCATTACCACTAATACAAGAAATGCTAAAGGGGATTAATCCAATATGAAATGAAAAGACACTCAACAGTAACTAAATCATATGAAAATATAACAGTCTCTGGAAAGGAAAATACCTGGACAAATATTTTTTAAAGCACTATTGTAATTTTGCTTTGTACATCCATTTTTTACTTTCTACAAAATTTAAAAGACAAATGCACAAAAACATAAATATATGTTAATGGTACGTAGTATATAAAGATACAATTTGTGACATTAATACCAACGTGAAGGAGGAACCAGTTGTAAAGAAGTAAGAGTATTTCTCTATGGTTGAAGTTAAGTTGGTATCAATTTAAGAGAGGTTGTCATAACTTTAGGATTTATATGTAATCCTTATGATAACAACACACATACAAATCTGTAGAATACACAAAAGGAAATGAGTATGGAACTGAAACATATCATACAAAAATCAATTAAATTAATCAAGATAGACCACATACTGGTCCATAGAGCACACCTTAACAAATGTAAAAGAAGATAAAATATATATAATATATGTTCCCAGACCACAATGGAATTAAACTAGAAATAACAGAAGGACAACTGGAAATCCCAAAATATATAGAGATTAAACAGTGTATTTCAAAGTTACACATGGGTCGAAGAAATCTCAATAGAAAAATTATTTTGAATTAAGTGAAAATGAAAACAATTTATCAAAATTTGTGGAATGCAGCATAAGCAATGCTCAGAAGTAAATATATAGCATTGAGTGTATATATCTGAAAAGAAGAAATAGTTAAAATTAATTGTCTAAGTTTCCACCATAGGAAAAAACTAGAAAAGGAGGAGCAAATTATATTGAAGAAGAAGAAAAGAAAAAAGAAATATATTTATATTTACCATATATATNGGACATTGAAAAGATTCAAGGAATATTATGAACAACTTTATGCCCACAGATTTGTTAACCTAGATAAAGTGGACCAATTCATTGAAAGACATAATCTGTCAAAACTTACACAGAAAGAAATAGGCAATCTGAATAGGCCTATACCATGTATATATATATATACATATACTATGTATATATATATACATAGAAGAAATTGTATCAACAATTAATAACTTTCCCAACTAGGAGCACCATATCTAGATGGGTTCATTGGTGACTTCTACCAAACATTTAAGGCTGAAATTATACCTGTTTTCTACAATCTCCTTCAGTGGATAGTAGCCAAGAAAATACTTCCTAATTCATTCTGTTAGGCCAGAATTACCCTAATGCCAAAACCAGAAAATTGCATTACAAGAAGAGAAAGCTACAGAGCATTATCTTTCATGAACGCAGATATAAAAATCCTTAAAAATATATTAGAAAATTGAATGCAACAATGTATAAAAAGAATTATATGTATCAAGTAAGCAAGACTAGTTCAACTTTTGAAAATTGATCAGTGTAATCCATTACATCATCAGGCTAAAGAAGAAAAATCACTAATCATATCAATAGGTGCAGGGAAAGTATGTGACAAAATCCAAAACTTGAATTATTCATGATCAAAACTGTAGGTAAACTAGGAATAAAGAGGAACTCCCTCAACTTGATAAAGATTATCTACAGAAAAAATAGAGCTAACATAATTAATAGTGAGAAACTTGAAGCTTTCCCACTAAGATCAGATATGAGGCAAAAACCTCTCACCACTTCCTTTCAACATTGTGTTGGAAATCACTGCTGATGCAGTAAGACAAGAAAAGAGAAAGGTACACAGATTGGGAAGGAAGAAATAAAATTGTTTTTGTTCACAGATGACACAGTCATCTGTGTGGAAAATCCAAAAGAATCAACAGTAAAACAAAAACAAATGTTCCTGGAGCTAATAAGCAATTACAGCAAGACTGCAAGATACAAAGCTAATATACAGAGTAAGGCACTTTCCCATATGCCAGCAATTAACAAGTGGAATTTGAAATTAAAAATAAAACATCATTTACATTATCATGTCCCAAAATAAAATGTTTAGGTATAAATGTATAAAACATCTATATGTAGAGAACCCAAAAATAGATCCTCATAAATATGGTCAACTGATCTTTGACAAATGAGCGAAGGCAAGAGTGGAGCAAAGAAAGTCTTTTCCCAGTGGTTTTGGAACTACTGGACATCTACATGCAAAGAAAATGAATCTAGACACTAATCTTGTACAGGAGAAAAATTAACTCAAAATGGATCACAGACCTGAATGTAAAGTTCAAAAGTATAAAACTACTAGAAAGTAATGTAGGAGATAATTTATATGACCTTAGGTAAAGCAAAGATTTTTAAGAAACAATACCCAACAGCATGATCCATGAAATAAAGAGTTGGTAAACTGGAGTTCATTAAATTAAAAACTTCTGCTCTGCGAAAGACAATGTCAAGAGAATGAGAAGACAAGACAGACTTGTAGGAAATATTTGCAAAAGACACCTGTTAAAATACCATTATCCAAAATACAAAAAGAACTCTTAAAACTCAACAGTAAGATAACAACCCAATTTTTAAAAAGAGCCAAAAACCTTCGTAACAAGCATTTCACTAAGGAAGATACACAGATGGAAAATAAGCATATGAAAAGATGTTCCACATCATAAAGCCATCAACAAAATGCAAATTAAAACAGCAGGGTACCACTGCCCATCAATTAGAATAGCTAAAACACAGAACACTGACAACACCAAATCTTGGCAAAGATATGGAGCATCATTGCTAGTGGGAATGTAGAATGGTAAAGTCACTTGGGAAGAAACTTTGGCAGTTTTTTACAAAACTCAGCATACTCTTACCATACAATCCAGCAATATTGATCTTTGGTACTTACCCGAAGGAGTTGGAATGTTATGTCCACACAAAAATCTGCACATGGATGCTTTAGCAGCACTATTCATAACTGCCAAAACTTAAAAGCAACCAAAATGTCCTTCAGTAGGTGAATGGATAAAACAACTGGTACATCCAGACAATGGAATATTATTCAATGCTAAAATGAAATGAGCTATCAAGCTTTGAAAAGACATGGAAGAAACTTAAATGTATATTATGAAGTGAAAGAAGCCAGTTTGAATTGTCTATATACTATATGATCTGACATTCTGAAAAAGGCAAAACTATGGAGACAGTAAAAAGATCAGTAGTTGTCAGGGATTGGGGTTTGGGGAGGGATTAACAGAGTACAGAGGATTTTTAGGGCAATGAAAACACTCTGTATGATAGTCTAATAATGGATACCTGTTGTTATACATTTGTTCAAACCCATAGAAAGGACAACATCAACAGTGAACCTTAAGGTAAGTTATGGGAAAAGTTAAACACAAAGGAAAGACTAAGAGAGGAAAGAAAGGACAAAAATGTCACAACACATACAAAAAACATGTAATAAAATAGCGATAGTAAAATCATTCCCCATCAGTAATTACTTTCAGTGCAAGTGGATTGCCCTACCCAATCAAAAGGCATAGATAGGCAGAACAGATGAAAACACCTTTAGATCTAAGGACACACATAAGTTGAAAGTGAAAGATGGAAAAAGTTATTCCATGCAAATAATAACCAAGAGAACAGGGGGCTACGCTAATATTGGGCAAAATAGTCTTTAAGTAGAAAACATAAGAGACAAAGAAGGACATTATATAATGATAAAAGGATCAAGTTACAAAGATGTAATAATTATAATAAACATGTATACACAAAACATCAGAGCTCCTAAATATATGAAGCAAATATTGAAAACTCTAGGAAGAAATAGCTCTACAAAAGTAGTTGGAGTCTTAAGTATCCTACTTATAATATGGACAGAACAATCAGTCAGAAGATCAATAAGGAAAGAAAAACTTGAACTATGCTACAAACTAGTTGGACCTAACAGACATTTATGGAACACTCAATTCCGCAATAGTAGAATGTATATTCTCAAGTGCACACGGAACATTCTCCAGGACAAACTCTACTGTTGACTATCTCTAGGCCATCTATAACAAAGCCAAGATCCAAGTAAGGAGACAGAACTGATAGATTAGGGGTATGTATACTAAAGCAGATATTGTGTATGTAAGAATTTTACCTCATTGAAAATATGTATCTGATAGAAAAAGTACAGTGAGTTGGCCCATCTTTCTTAAGATCAATGGGCAAAATTTGTGAATCTAATTCATTCTTGCAAGAAGGAAAAATGGTTAATATGGCATATTGCTGGATGACTTTAGACCCCAATGAGAGTTTTCCCAAAGGATTCCCTATAAAATGAGATAGTTAAGGTAAAAGTTAAAATTATTTAAAATAAAAGTAAAAGTAATATATAAAACTAAAACTTGATTCACTGAGATAAAAAACATAGATAGGCTCCCCTCAGGGGCTTATTTAAGGAGAAGAAAGATAAAACAAGTTATATAATCTTAGGGATTAGAAAGAGGATATAAACACAGATGAAGACAATAAAGCAGAAGATCATATATGAAAAACTATGGACAAAAATGCAAAAATGTTATAGGAGTTGAAATTATCGTCTTAGCTCAGGTCCTATTCTAATGGCTCTGTTCTGTTTTACTGAAAAGGATTTCTGCTTGAAAATTGAATGGCTGCTGGGAAAATGAACATCAGTATTGATTTGGGAACTAACTATGCTGAGCTGGTTCTAGCTGTGGGAAGAGTCACTCTTGGAGAAAAGGACAGAAAAAATATGAAAGATTGCTCACCGAGAAAAAAGCAGAATGGAAAAGTCTTACAAGCTCTGGGCACTTTGCTAAATTCTGGCGGGGGGAATAATCAAGGCTGAAATTAAGAATGAAAACTATAGTTACCAAAAAGGTGGAATAGAACTAGATTTGGAAAATTCTTAAATGTTTTCAGATTTTTGTCAAATCATGGGGCTCAAAAACCTCTGGTTTGCCAATTACCACCTTGAGCTCCAATTTATATAAAAGAGATGTGACATCTGCAAACGTCATGAGTGCAGCGGCTGCTCTGGAGTTCCTGAAAGACATGAAAGAAACTGAAGGGAGACTTAGTTTAAGATCCAGATTGCATCCAAACAGGACCCATATGTATGTACAAGAGGAATGCAACATGGAGGACTTGGCTGATGACTTTTTTGACAGGATGCAACTTAAATACAGAGAAAAACTTGCCTTTACGGAATCCACAAACATTGAAATGAAATACTTCTCAACAGAAAAGTTGGTAGAATTCATTAATTCTCCCTCATTATGTCTCTGTATTTGCAAATACTGATGGGGAATATTTGTTTATTGGTTTAGATGAAGATAAGCACAAAGTAATTGGCTTTAAAGCAGAGATTAATGATCTTGACAAGCTAAGAAAAGAAATAGAAAACCCCATTAAGAAGTTAACTGTCTTAGTTCTCTAAAGAAATTCAGATGGCCAACAGACACATGAAAAGATGCTTCACATCACTTGTCATCAGAGAAATGCAAATTAAAACCACAATAAAATATCACCTCACACCAGTAAGGATGACTACCATCCAAAAGACAAACAACAACAAATGTTAGCGAGGTTGTGGAGAAAGGGGAACCCTTCTACACTGCTGGTGGGAATGTAAATTAGTTCAACCATTGTGGAAAGCAGTATGGAGGTTCCTCAAAATGCTCAAAATAGAAATACCATTTGACCCAGGATTTCCACTCCTAGGAATTTACCCTAAGAATGCAGCACT